AGGAGGCCGCCACACACGGACGGCTTAGGGCGCTCTCCGATCTCTCCATAGGGCTCCTGTTTCTCCTCAGTGTTGCCATCCTCTACGGCCTCAAGTGATGCCCCCGCGGCGCCCAGCCAGCTCCACGGTGTCCCCAGGGGGCTGAGGGTGGCCGGCACCCTGTATCTGCTGTTCAGGCTGTGACATTTAACTCTGCCAGTGTGACCTTCAGGGACGATATGTGAGCAGCAGGCTTCATCGGCCCCTCTGCCAGCGTGACCTTGAGACACTCGGTGCGCCTGGCTGGCACAGGATGTGACCTCTGGATACCCTCTGTGTGCCCTGGTCCACAGGCCAGGCTGGGCTCTGCTGTGCCCCTTGCATGACCTTGCAGAGGTGCTGCAGGAGCTCTGCCTGCTCTTCATGTGCCCCCTCCAGCAGTGCCACCTGCAGACACAGTGCCTGACAAGTAAACACAGTTCCTGGACTCTGGACTGGGATGTGTCCCCACCTTTGGCACAGCTGTGTGACCTCGGTGTGCCCCAGGAGCCTGTTGTGAGCCACAGCAGAGATTAAAGGCTGTCAGAGCTGGTGTGTGCTGTGTGTGTTCAGGGCTGCTGCACTCACTCATGCTCAGGTGTGCCTCTGCTGATTCCAGACCTGCCACCTCTGTGCTGTCACACCTCTGATGTACCACATCTCTGGGGAGTTTTTGGTGTCCAAACCCCTCAGAATGGCAGGTATAGAAATCTTAGATTCAGACTTGAAACGTGAAACTCGAGCCCGTGGTGGCTCATGCCCTGCTCGGTGTGTGACATTGCCTGGAGGTGCAGCTAAAGCACCTTTGTGTCTCAAGTGCTCTGTCCTGTCTAGGGCCTGCCAGGAACTTTACACAAGCCCCCTCCCCCTGAGGCTTTTGGCCGTGTTGCACCTGTGAGCACAGAGCTGTTCTCTGTGTTTTACATGTATCTCAGCATCATTTGCACAAGTGTATTTGCCTATTTAATTACTGAAGTGTTCTAAGAACTAAAGATTGTGTTTCCCAGAAACTTTTCTCTCCCTGGGTGAAGGTCCACCCATGCCATGCTGCTGCTACCTGGAGGGAGAGAAGTTTTGTGGCAGTGGCCAAAGACTGGGTTTGCTGTCAGAGGGGTGAGCAGGAACCCAACCCTTGCTCCCTCACAACCCAGATCCTGGCTTGTGTTTCATCCCAGCACAAGAATGTTAAAAGTGGATACTCTGTGTTTTCCACTGTGGATTTCTGTGATCTTGTTGGGAGCCTGAGGCGGTGGCACAGCAGGGACCACCATGTCTCCTGGTTGTGCAGGATTGCTCTCTGCCTGCTCTCCAAAGCCTTGTGCCACTTCCAGCTGCACTCTAGAGGCTGCTGCATGTTTGGAGTGAACTCAGCCTGGGGGCAGAGTGATCTTTGCAGGATCCTCCCTTTAGAGCTGCCAGTCTGTCCCAGGGATTAGAGTGCTGAAACATCAGCATGGGAGACACAGGAGCCCAGAGTTCTCTGGCTGCAGAGGGAAAGTCTCTGTGCACTTGTGGCTCTGGCACTTGTTGATGCATTTTCATGCTCATCTTCATTATGTAAACCAAATCACTCAGAAGATCAGAGGTGGTATTTTTTTTGGCAGAATTGGCAGGAAACATTACTTTCCAGACTGGAAAAGCTAGTGATGTCCATGGGAAGCAGTGGACACTAGGGAGCAGTTGTTTAGTTGTACCCTAACAGGTGTTTTGGGCAGTTCCTGCTACTGGTTCTCCCTCTTCAGGTCTCCATGATGTATCTTGAAGATTAAAGACATCCAACCATAAACTGCTGACAAAATGACACATCTTTCTTTTGGTGGGGCTGGGTGGTAAATATTCCTTGCACTTGCTGGAAAAAGGGGTGAGGGACAGGCAGGTGTTTCACATCCTTCAGCCAGTGAAGAAGAGGGCAGGGAGGAGAGTTCTGTTTCCCTTGCTGGGATGGGTGAGCATCCAACCTGCAGTCAGCAGAGCAGGGTGGCCTCTCTGGACCACCATGGCCAGGAGGAGCAGCCTCCTCCTGTTCCATGCTGCCTGACACCCAGGGGTGGCTGTGCACTGGTGACATCCCCTGTGCTCTGCACTCACCTGCCTGGACAGAGGAGGGTGCACTAAAACTCTCCAGTGTCACCTTTACCCTAGTCAGGCCTGACTGCTCCTCTGCTCTGGGAAGGATTTCAGGAGGCAGAAAGTGGCTGGAGCTGGTCCAAATGCCCAGACTGCCAGCTCCCAGCACACCACTGTTCTGCCCCTTTTTCTCCTTGTGTCAACAGTGTCATTGTATTCCTGTTGTTCCCCAGTTATTTCCCTGATGGAGAGGTGCCAGGAGCAACTGGGTTTTGTGTTGATTTCCTTTAGCCAGTGAGCACAGCCTGTGTAGATGCCAGGGGCTGATGGTGACAGGAGTGTGAGGTGGCAGGGACTGAGCTGTACAGGACTGGAAGATCAGCAGAGGATAAAGCTGAGTAACTCCCTGTGCTCTTTAGCAAATCCTACCCCTCACTTCCTCGCTCTGTGGCTCCACATTTCCCTTGCCTGCAAGTGATGTGTTCTATCCTTGCTGGATGCTCGTCCTTCACTCTCTTAGCCCTGGCACCAGGTTTTGCCAGCTGTGTGTCACCAAAAGGAGGGTGAGTTGGTGCTGAAGCCTCAGCCATCCAAGCCTGGACTGCTCTACCCCGCACCTTCACCCCAGGGGGTTTTCTGGGTTCTTTGGTGTTGCTCTTTCCCACCCTTAAATCACTGACAACAGACATCAAAGGGATGCACCAAGATCCGAGTAGTTAACAGTCATTTGGTAATTTGATACTGTGACAAACTAGGAAATTTAACGCTCCAGGGAAACTTAAACAAGCTGGATGAAACCTGATGGCCTCAGTGTTGAATTTTCATGGGCTGACATCCCATAACTGCAGGTTTGGGGTGCTCAGCTGCTCCCCTCAGCTGGGAGTGTGGGGTCTCAGTGCCTCATCAGGGTCTCCTCCTGGAAAGGAAGGGTCAAACCTGGCTGCTGGCAGATCTTTGTGCCTGCTGGGCTGGGCAGATGAGGAACAGGGAGCTGCGGGCTGGGGGAGCAGCAGTAAGGGGTGGCCATCAGCCTCCAAAAGAGGCTGGTCTGGCAGGGATTGGGATGAGGGGACAGCCCCTGGAACAGCCCCAGTTCTGTGTGGGCAGACTCTGCCCTCCCAGGGAAGGGCTGCTACGGTTGGCAGCACCCGAGGATGGGGGGGCAGCTCCTCCTCCCTTAAGCAGCATCCCCTGCGGCCACTCCTTGGTTAATAGAGTTAATTGTTAATAGAACTCCCTCACCAGCCCTGGTGCCTGCTCCGGGGGCCCCAGCTGGGGCACATGGCACCCCCTTCCTGGCTGGTCCTAGTCCAGGTTTGCACCCCTTTGTGCACCCCACTGCCTGGGGGATTTCAGGGGGAGGGGGGGGCACCCCTCTTCTCCTGGGCTGGGGGCTGCTCCTTATCCAGCCTGGCTTTGACAGAGCCAGGCATGGGGGGCACCCCCAGCTCCCTGCCCAGGTTTGGCTGCACACCAGCTGGCAGAGGGGCTGGGCTGGGCCCGGGAATGAATGTAGGTGCACACCCAGTGGCAACCTCTCCTCCTCGGGGTGAGCAGGAGCACCTTTACCCTCCTTGGCTGCATTCTGCAGGGCAGGGACAGGCAGGGAGAGGAGGGGGTCACCCAGTCTGGCTCCTGCCTGTGAGCCAGTGTCCCTTCCTGCCCTGTGCAGAACCTTGCCCCCAGTCCCAGCTGGCCCATGAAGGGCCTGGAGCTGTCGGTGGCAGTAGGCAAAGAGAGACCCCTCAATCCCCAGGGAACAGGGTGCACCAGGGTGCACCAGGGTGCACAGACACCCCCTGCCAGGATCACCACAGCTGGGGTGCCCCATCCTGCTGTCCATAGCCAGAGCCAAAGGGCACAGCATGGAAAGAGCACACGTAGAGCATGGAAAGAGGCTTTATTTAGGAAGCATGTGGCACACCCAGCGCTCCTGTGCCCTTTCCCTGCTATCCCTCCCAGCTAAGCCCACTGACATCCCTACAAGCCACCCACCCCCACTTCCTGTCACTGCTCCCCTTGCTGTGGATGCAGAGACCTCCCCCCTGCAGCTCCCCAAATGCAGGACCCCTACCCAGCCATGGCACCTGCCCCAACCGAGTGCCTCCATCCCTCAGTGAGCACCCACCCCTGTGCCTGCCCCACACACCCTGCAGCCCTTTGGAGCTGTGCCTACACCACCCCCCACCCCTGTTCTTCCCTGCCCACGGTGTTCCTGCACAGCTCCCGTGGAGGCACAGGAGCAGGGACATCTCCCATCCTCGCCCTGCTACCGGTGTGGAGGCTCCTGCTTCTGGTGTTGTGGCTGCTGCTGCCCGCGGCCAGGCTGGGGGCTGAGCAGGGGGATGTGTCCAACGAGGCGCAGGGGAGAGCCCAGGCTGGGGATTTCGGAGCTGGGGGATGCTGGCTGCTGTTCCAGGGCTGGGAGATGGTGCTTGGGAGGTGCGGCCGGCACGGGAAAGGGCGCAACAGGCTCCGAGGGGATGAGGAAGGCAGGCACGAAGCCGTAGGAGAGATCAAAGGCTTTGGGGGCTGCTCCACTCTGCAATGGGGCAAGGCGGGCTGGTGCCATGCTAGCTGGGGCACCTGGGCACCCTGCAGGGCCCACAGGGTCCCTGCCCACCTGGTCCTTCTGCACCTGGTCCTTCTGCAGCAGCTCCTGCAGTTTCTCCAGCTGCGTCCGGCAGACATGGGAGCGTGTGCGGCTCTGGCAGAAGGATTCCAGAAAGGACTCGAGGGGCAGGTCCTGGGTCAGGAACTGCTTTATCTGTGCCTGTGGGATGGGCAGTGGGATTAGAAGGAGCATCCCCTGGACTCTTCTGTAGGCCCTGGTATATGGGAGGGCATGGAGAGCACAGGGGTGCTCAGCTAACTCACCTCTGACTCTGCTTCGGAGGCATCAAGCTTGGCTTGGAGCTGGCCCAGGGCACTCTGTGGGCTCCACTTCTCCAGGTAAACCTCTGTGTCAGAAGGGGATGGGGCTGCCAACCTTCCCTGGATATCCCACTGCTGGGGTTGCTGTCTTTCCCATCCCCAAGCATCAGGTCCCCCCTCTCCTTGCACAGAAAAAACCCCAAACACATCCCTGGATCCACCTGCACACCATGGCTTCCATCCCACCCCGCCACAGGCTGCCCAGAGAAGCTGTGGATGCCTCATCCTTGTAATTGCTCAGGCCAGCTTGGACTGGGCTTGGAGCAGCCTGGTCTAGGAGAAGGTCTGTCCACAGCAGAGCGTGGAATGAGATGACCTTTAAGGTGCCTTCCAACCCAAACCATTCTGTAACTCTATGACTGGTCCCAGCTAAGGATCTGTGCCACAGGGAGCATCACCTCCCACCACTCCTGATCATGGCTGAACCATTTCCCTGGAGTAGATCAGAGAATGCTGAGCCCACCTGGACCCTCATACTAACAGGGGTTGTTCTGGATGTGCCAGGCTGTCACACCCCACTCACCCAGGCGCTGCTGTTTGTCCCAACATGCCTCTCGGATCTCCTGCAGCTCCTGGTACTTGATGGCCAGGGAAGCCTTCCCATCCTCCAGCCGTGGGCGTAGGGACAGATTCACCCTGGCCTGGGTGCAATTTGAAGCCAAACACATTTCCCGCTCCAGCTGTAGGCTCTGGAACTGTGGGAATGGGATTGGGGCCGGGTGTGTCAGCAATGAGAGAATTGGCAGAACCAGATCCAGCACCTTGCAGGGTGGGGGGCAGTGTCCATCCGGGGGTGAACCCTCTTTTTCTGCACTGTCTCCATCCCTCTGCTTTGCCTGGAAAGGGGATGGATCCCGGCGGAATGGGGCCGGGCTCCGCAGGGTGGCTAAACCTGACCGTGCAAACCTCAGCTGGCCAGCCCCTCTGCAGGGAAAGGGCTCGGCAGAGGACATGGATGTCACGGAGGGGACACGCACCCTCCCCTGGCTGCGCACACACCGTCTGCACTCGGGGCCACCTGGGGAAGATGCCGAAATGGAGCCGAGAGCGATTCCACAGCAACCCGCGCCCGTTTCCGCAGCGGAGCCGGGCGGGCGCGGGGCTCATCCCGGCTGCGGAACACCGGAGCGGGCTGGAGGGAGGGCGAAGGGCCCGCAGCGCATCTCGGGGATGCGGGGGCACTGACGGGGTTTGGTGGCCAGGGGTTTGCAGCACCCGGAGCCCCGCGCAGCCGCCATCAGGACCCCCGAGCGG